GTATTATGAAAGAATTGAAAAGCAAAGTTAAAGTCTTTAAGAGTAAATCATCTATTTAGTTTGTAGAAGATTCAAAAAATAAATTTTGTAAAATCTTAAGGGGGTTTCCAATTTAGATGAGTTCTCAGATTTTTCATTCTATAGATTTGATTTTAAATAATTTAGTTTGAGTGAATTTTATCGGATTAAGAGTATTTAGAGTGAAATAAAGTTAGTGTTGATTAAAATCTCTAGGTGTAAAAAAGATTCATAAGATTAACAAAATCAAACGTAATATTTAATTAAATTGTAAAGCCCAAAAATGTTGGAACTCAAGAGATTAAAGAATAATGTAAATTACTGTTAAAATGCCTTTAAAAAAGGTGAGTGGAATGTAGTGTAAGCTAAAATTCAAGGGTATATAGTTAACGTTAAATATAGCTAGATTAAATTCATAATTAATAAAGAAGAATTAGAAATGGTAAAATTTGGAAAATGGAAAACTTTCTCCTATTAAGATAAATTTGAAAATAAACATAAAGTTATGTCAAGAATAGAATTAAAAGCTTGGAGATGGTGATTCTTATGATGATGATTTAAAATATGGTTAGTGGATAGAAATGCATAATATTTTTCATAACTATTTAATTCAATAAGTAGTTAAATGTAAATAATATATTTTGGTGAATTTAATAAAGGATTAAAGGTAGATTAATGGAATTACATGAACATAAGTGAAAATTCTAATTATACAATTATGTAAATACATAGTCAAATTTACCTATCTTCATACCTTTCAAATTATATTTACCATTATAAGTGACTTAAAAATGAAAATTCAATCCTTCATCAAGCTCTACCCACCTTCCAATCTTTATCAAACTCTTCTCTCCTTCACCATATGATCCACAACTACTTATACATCCTTACATTTATGATTCTTTGAATACTATATCCTATATACCTACCTTCAGAACTTTCATATTATTGACATCATTGTGAACATACATTTACCTTACTTTTTATTATCTTTTTTGTAGAATCCACCATCACTTAAAGAATAAGTAAAATAATTATGTCTACTTACTATAGCAAATATAATTCCTATTATAAATTCTAAAGTCATTATAATAATCACCAGTTTCGAAAATTTTGCTTTACTATTCATAATTTCAAATTTTTTAAACTTACTTCAAAAAATTTTACATTAGTTCTTTAATTAATCCTTGCTTTTACACATCGACATAGTATCTACCAACATTTTAAAAAAATTTTCCACCCAAAAAAATTATCCATTTTCCATTTTTTTTATTTTTCAGATTATATTCATATAATCAGAAAGATATTCGATTTGCTCCATATTGCTTAGTATTAATTGTTTTTTGGAAGTAACATAAATAGTTTTGCTTTTGTAGCTTATGGAATATATTTAAATTCTCAAAATTGAATCATCTTATGAATATATTAGTTTTTGATCTTAAACAAATGATTTGAATTTATATATTTCTAACTGATCTTTATATTTATGACACTAACAACCTAATATATTATGGTGTTTAATAGCCATCAAAGAGTTTTCTGCATATAATTTCATTTTATTACAATATTTAAAGTATTTATATCATCTCACGATACAAATCTGATAAATTATTAATTCTATTAAATTATTTTATTAATTACATTAAATACTTATTATTAATGAGTGTATTAATAAATATTTAAATTTCATGTGAAAACTATTAAAATTATTCTAAATTATCACTTCATTTCTTAGGAAATTTGTATTGGCTTCATTACTCCTCCTCCTTTCCTATTCAAGTATTGATTTTATGTTTTATTTAATATTGAAAATAATCTTATAACATTTAATTGTTTATTTGAAATATATATTTTCTAAATTCTTTTTATTTATTGAAGCATTTCAACGATTACCCATCCAATATTTTTGAAATATTCTCATCAACCGATTCTCCATCAATTATTCCACGTTCTCTTCTTTTTTTGTCCTCTTTAATGCATAAAATTACTTTTCTACTTAAATAGCATTATCTACTTTGAAAATTATCTTTACTTGTTTTGCTCTAAGGTAAAATTTTTTGCATAATTTTATTTAAGCGGCAAGATTATTAATTTATTTTATTTTTGGATTTTATTTACAAGTAAATAGCGTTCAGAAAGCTTTATAAATATCTCATAAATTTGACATGAATAGAATTCTTCAATAGAACTAACTATTGTTTGATGCAGGAAATAAATAATTGAAAGTAATTATTGATATTAAGAAGATGCTCTTCTATTATTTGAATTGAGTGTGCTATTATTAAATTGATCCGAGTTTAATCTGCAAAGTTAGAAAAAATATTCTTAACATAGATCCTTCGGTTGAAATATTGTGTATCAAAATTCTAGACCTACAAATCTTAAGAAAGACTTTTATTTTTCATATCGAAATGAATTACTGTGTATTCTTAAGGATTAGGAGAAGAAAAAATAAAATTTTAAAAGAGAATTAAAAAAAAATCCAATTGGAAATTTGGTTTGCTCAAAGCTCCAGTTCCACCTTTTTTATAATTTTGAGTATTTATTATTTCAAGAGCATAAATTTTAGCTTGAAAAATTAGTTACATGTTAAAAAAGAGATTAAATAGATGATAAGAAGATACAATAAATAATGATTATATAGAGAGGAGTAGCTTGAAAAATAATTCACCTAATAATAATCAATATAAATAAATGATAACAAGATAAAATGAGAAATAATTATAAATAAGGATGCTTAATAAAATTATCAGTTATAAGAATTTAGATCAATAAAATAAGATGAATGGTGTGGTTCAATAGCTTATAATAAAGATAATTCTATTGTAGTAATATAAAAGTATTCGAATTCAATTAAAGCAAACTTAACTTCTAAGATGAACATGGAGATTGTGTTAGAACTTTAAATTTCATAAAGCATTCTCTTCAATTTATATCAGGAAGTGATGATTCATAGATTATAATATGGTCTATAATTAAAGGATTTGCTAATAGAAATTAAATAGACATACCAGCTGTTTTCATTGTTTAGTATTCACTAATATTAAAGATTTTATAATATCTGAAAGTGACGTATCTTCATCCAATTGTTTTGCTTTCATGATAAAATGTGTTTTGTTTGGGGATAAATAAACAATTTTAAACCAAAAACAATTCTATAATAATCTAGAAAAGATAGATATGAGCTGGCATAGTTTAAGTTTCAGTCATAATTTATTTTTAGTTATGATTTGAATTTATTTATCCCATTAATCTAATTTTGGAGATGTGATACTTAGTTTATTCATTCTAGTGTATTCAGAATTGTTAAGAATTCTTGAAAGGAGAAAAAAAGATTTATTAGGTTGGATCTATTCCTAAAGAATTAATTTTTTAATTAATATTTTTATTTTATGAATCATGTGCTAAACTGAAATGGACATTAGATAGAAATTAGAAATTTAGGAATTAATGTAAATTCTAAATATGGCACAAATTGAACATCATTATAAAATTTAGTCTTTTATTTAATAAATAATCTATTATCTCATAGTTAATAAATCTAAGAATTTAGAAATAATACAAATAACAGGAAATTAAACCACAATTGAGCAGAGAATGTAAGATTTCAAACAATGGTATTAATCTTCAATTAAACTTTTATATTCAAATTATTGGTTTTTAACTTCAGAAGAATCTACATTAGCCTTGGGCAGCGATGATAAATTTGTCTGTTTGTGGAATGTAAAGCAGAATAACAAAAAGCTAAATTGGATGGTCATACGAACATCGTCTACTCTGTATCCTTTTCTTCTGACAGTAAAACAGTGCAGATAACTCTATCTGTTTAAGGGATGTTAAGACTGGATATTAAAAAGTCAAATTTGATCTTCATAGTGATTCAGTTTAATCAGTCTGCTTTTCTCCTGATTGTACTACTTTAGCATCTGGTAGTTATGATAACTCTATCCTTTTATGGGATATGAAGAAAAGATAATTAAAAGCAAAATTTGAAGGTCATAATAAGAAAATCTAAACAGTATGCTTCTGTCCTGATGGTACATTAGTATCTGGGAGCCTTGATAATTCTATCCATTTATGGGATCTTAAGACTGGGCAATAAAAAGCTAAATTGGAAGGTCATACCAATGGAATTCTGTCAGTATGCTTCTCTACTGATGGTACTACTGTAGCATCTGGTAGTTGTGACAAGTTTATTCGTTTATGGGATATAATGACCAGAAAGAAAAAGGCTAAATTAGAAGGTAATAAAGGTGGAATCAACTCAATATGTTTCTCTCCTGATGGTTCTACATTAGTATCTGGGAGCGTTGATAAACCTATCTGTTTATGGAATGTTAGAACAGCACAAAAAAAAACTAATTTAATGGTCATAGTAGTTCTGTTTATACAGTATGTTTTTCTCCTGACGGTACAACAAAAGCATCGGGAGCCTTGATAAGTCTATCCGTTTATGGGATCTTAAGACTAGACAATATAAAGCCAAATTGGATATTGATGGGTCCAATCAGTAAGCTTCTCTTCTGATGGAATGATATTGGCATCTGGCAGTGTCGATATGTCAATATGTTTATGGTATGTTAAGACAGAAAAAGAAATTTAGCCCTCTCATCAAGATATTTTTACATAATTTATACCTTCGCTATATTAAGAAAAATCCCTAACATTAAAAGGTATTTATTTTTTATTGATTCAGTCAACCCATATATTCCTATTCTTGAAATTGGCAAAAATCCATATTTGCTAGCAAATGGAGCCTTAATACAATAAGGAAAATTTTTAACTTCAGGGGGAGTAGATTTAAGAGCCTTTTTAAAAGATAGAGGGAGTGTTATTTTGGAAAGTTAATTGTGATCAAGATTATTAAAAATAAATACTAATTTCCTTTCTTCTAATATTATTATTATTATTCAACCGCACTCTTGATTGTACCGTGGATAATATCTTTGAAGATGTCAGTTACAGGCTGATATTTATGACTTTTTGAATTTAATTATTATGACTTAATATCTAATAATTAAACTCAATTTTGATAATTTCTAAAAAAAACGCCCAAAGTTTATTAAAATAGATTAGATATAATATTAATCACACCTCTTGGTTTTAAATGTTATATAACTTACAAAATATATAATCGATATTTCTATCAGATTTTATATTAATTTCCATTTTTTATTCTTCGACTTCTTTTTCTATTATTTTTTTTTTATCCCTTCTTTCTTCTTTTATAAAGGGTTACATTAGCATTCTATTTAATAGTGTTCTATATTCTGATTTCTTATCTGTATAACCAATTAATATAAAAAATCTTCCAAAAAAAAACATTTCCACTACCAGAAAATTTGTTATTTCCATATTTTCTCTTCTACCCATATTGATCGTTTTAACTGGTAATATTACCAGCAATTTGTTATTCCTCTCTTTTAGTATCCATCTATATCTTAGTTTATCCATTCTTTCTTTCATTTGTTCGTTTATTTTTTCTAAGAGTATTACATGTGCATTAATTTCTAGAAATTTCTATCTGTTTTCAAAAAGTGATAATTATTCATATTCCTATTACTAAACATTACATCGTAATAGCTGTACTTAAATTAGAAAGGTGATGAAAAATACTCCACCTAATTCAGAGTTACTTGGGTTTAGTCAGCTAATATGAACTTGTTACTGTACTAACTACACTTCAAGGAATGTCTGTAATAAATTATACTTTACTAATAGGATAACAATTACTCCTTCAAATAATCCTGATTATGACATTAAAAATTATACTTTATCTACCCAAAACCTACAAATCATCTGATACCTTATTTGATATGTTAATTGACAATTTTAAAAATTTTTCAAAAAAAATATTTGTTAAATAAACAAAAATCCAGTCGGATTTAAATATTTTTCTAACTATTAATAAAATAAATTAATATTAATGTTATTAGTTTGATTAATATATATACATATAAAATTATGGGGAATATTTGCAAGTCATAGGTTTAGTTAATTGAAATAAAAGAGAATTTTTTACAAAAACACTGAAATTTAAGAGTAGAGAATAAAAGAAATGATTAAGAAGAAAATAATAATGTTTAAAAATAAGAATTTATAATTGAAAATCAAAAACAATATTTAAACAATCCTGATGAATAAAAGATGAATAATGAGAATAATTAAAAAGTACTTTATAAAAATAGATTAGTTATAAAAAAGTGAAAAAGATTAGATAGCAAAAAGAGCAAATTCTAATAATTAAGAAATAATTTATGAAAATATTTAAATACGCAACAAAGTGAAAAGCAGTTTTGATTACTAGCTATTATTGAATGTTGTTTCTAATAGCTTTTTATTTGTGAAGTTGTAATGTGGAATCAAGTATAAAAAATTGAATTTTATTTAGAATAAATTTGATTGAAAGAAAACTTTACAAACTGGAGAAGAATTTGGTGAATTCGAATTATTTTACAATGCTCCAAGATCTGATCTGCTACAATTAAAGCATTTGGATGTACTAAAATTAATTATTTTAGTTTGTGCCTTTTGGGCCATAGATAGAAATACATTTAGAAAAGCGATTGAAGAAATTTCATTGATGGATTATGAGTAAAATAAGGAATTTATAGTAGCAAAACTTAAATAATAGACTAGAGTCACTTACTAATGATTAAAGAACAGCTATTAAATATGTTTTGATAACACTTAGCTTTAAAGCTGGCGAGTTAATTATGAATGAAGGAGATTAAGTAGATTAATTTTTTATTATAAAGAAAGGAGAGATTGAA